ATACATGCAATTCGAGGGAAATAAAGGTACATAATGAATAACGATTAAGCTAATGTACAGTGTTATCTTGTCAAACTACTTGTATATTATTATTTGTCACGTTTCGCGGCTATTAAAATGGAGCCGTCGTCGGATTAGTGTTTAAATAGAAGTTAATTAAACGATCATAGAACTCGTAAACATACAGTTATTGTACGTAAATAAAGGAAAAATATAATAAAAATTAATATTATAAAAACAAATACGGTTCGCTAATTAGAAATGTACAAATATTGGCACGATTGCTCGTGTATAATAATGCTTGTCAATATCCACGACAGTTTGTAATTACATAGCGAATTTTATTTCAGATGTGTGTGTTTAACCGGGTAATTTCCCATTGGCGGATCAAAAGTAAAACCATTTAGTATATAGATTGATCTATAATTGATTGTAATTTATTTAATAATAAATTTGAAAAGTTGACTTTAGTATTATTAATTAATAACGTTGTCAGTTGGGTTTATTAGTAAAAATAATTTATTGTTTGACTATATTGCAAAGATATTACATTTCCCCTTATAAATTATAATTGTCATTTATTTCGGTTTTTCAAAATTCAGATGCCCATAAAATTGTATTTATGTTAGCATTGTCCGATAGGCGAGAACATCGATAACCAGACACAATGAAATGTTTTGAGATAATAATAGACAAACGGTTCTTATCTATTCAAACACTGTCACAGGTGAATGTGTTATTGACGGGTGTCAATGTCATTATTTAATGGAGATGCTACTGTTGCAAAAACCGAACGAATATTAATCTTAAATTAAAATCTTTACAAAGTCATTGCAAACGAACAGGTTGATGAAAATTAAAAATTCAAACGCTTATATGTTTTTAAAAAATGTTGGTCTATATATTTATGGATTAAAAACAGATGTTCCCATTTGAAATATAGTAAAATATTCACCTTCTAAGCGTATAAAAAAAGAATAATTTTTAAAATATTAATAATTTCCGAGAATATGAGTCTTATACATCAGATGGATCACCTTGTATACAAATCGATAGCTTAATTAAAAATATATTAAGACGTACAAAATGTTGATTTCACAGGAGAGATCTTTAAAGCTTTATCTTTTATTTATATTTGTTAACAGTACTTAGGTTGGTTCACTTAGGATAAGACACTCATTTACGCCTAAAAAATGTGCTATTTTAAAGATTTACTTTTTGAAAACATTTTTGATTTTGTTATTTTACAATATTATAAAATCACTAAATATTTACTTTTTTAAGTAAGAGATCTATAAACTATTGAAACTTAAATAAAAATGTATTAATTTAATTCACTTTTTTAATTAAGAATAATTTGCTGAACATGTTGACTGGTCGATATCCAGTTTTGAGTAATTATTTTTAAAGTTATCAAAGTTTAAAATGTATGATGAAAGGTGGAGTATGTTTCAGTAAAGACCAGTCAAAATGTGCAGCAAATTATTCTTAATTTAAATAGTTAGTTAAATATATAAATTTGTATTTAAGTGTTAAAAAGTGATATAGGTAATATATCCAAATTTTCAAGACAGGATCTGAACGAATTCTGGTTTCAGAATTTTCAGAATATGGTGCAAAACAAGAGGTCTTTTTTCCCTTTTCACCTCGCCGCATACTATTATTTCTACACGAGAGCTTGTTTGTTTTGCTCGACGAACGGGTTAATTTCCTCGTCATGTTTTATTTTTTGTCTAAAGTAAATAATAATAATATATCGTGGTTTTTTTTTTTTGGCATATTTATCACAATCGGACATAACGTTGGCGCCACTGCACAGTATAAAACAAAAAAAGAAGATAATTTTTAATATTAAATTACGCAACGTTTATCCAATCTATAGATACTCGCGCTGACAACGAGATAAAACACCGCGGCTAATCGGCTCGTGATATCCGCTTGTTGCGCAATGACGATACCGGATTTTGGGTCCGCCGCCGCAATAGTATGTCAAACGATGACGCGTTAGAAGTGTCCACGGCCGCCGCCGCCGCCGCCATCGAGTGGCCGCATGGTGAGTGGCAGCTACGGCGGCGGTGGCAGTCGGTGACTCATGGGTGTTTAAATTGGGCGATGACGAAGACACTACTGTGATACTGTATCGTTAGTGATGACGGGGGTGGGGGACGGCGGTTGCGGCGGCCACTCTTCTAGTATTTATTTATTTATTTTATTTTACAACGCCGCCGTACTATAGTATCCACCGCGTTCATTCATGATTTCACCCGGCACACGATATTCAGTCTTCGTACGACGCCCGGCCAGTTAAGTCGATCAACGACTCGACAGTTTTGCGCTTACGATATTTTTCCCGCCGCATTCCCGGGACCACTAGACTTTTTTTGTTTTTGTTAATGTTATTAATTTTTTGTGTTTTTTAATTTAACCGCCATCGCGTGATTGTTGAATAATTTATCGTTGAATCCGCCCGTTCGCGTCGTGTCTAGCGCGCGGTCGCTGTGTTTTATATAAATATTATGCTTTTCCAAACGGTACCGCCGTCTTGGGCAAACGATTATTGTACCACTATGGACGGCAAGCGGCCCAGCGTCACAGGCGCCACAGTTTGCCCGGACTGCCTGGCCACCGATTGTTCGTGTTGGCTCATACTACAACTGGACACTGACAGCATGTACACGTCCGCCGTCGGTAAAGCGTCGTCGTCGTCCCTCTGCCAGGTACACCATACAACACCACGACAAAATTGAATATCGTCCCAAAAAGTTGTTTGATTAAACAAGACATAGCCTAGTTGCAAGCGAACTTTATGTGGTGAGGGGGGGGCATTTAAGTTTTCTCAAAAACGAGACACTGTTCTGTTTGTACATTGAAAATCATTTTAGTTTAGAATTACTTCTCAGTATTTTAAAATTAAGGCACTCGTCCTAAATGTTGAACACCATGCTACAATTTTTAGATATTTTCCAGTTGTATATTTTTTGAAATAATTAAATCGAAACGACTTTTTACTGAAACTGGTTAAAATAAAACGTCGTCCATTGTTGTTATTTTAACAGCTGACTATTTTTTGAATACGTTATCATTTTAATTTCAAAAGTCAATAGAAATTTTAAAATGGAAGCAAAATAAACATTCGCGTTTACTGTACAATTAACATTATAGGTGTAGATTAAAAATAATTTATGGACAGAATTAAAAAATCAAAATTAATGTTTTATCGTTAAATAGGTATATCAAGTACCTACTTAAACTAAATGTCTTATGTGAAATTGATCATCCTATCAAATATATACAATTCTAGTGTATAGTAATCAAATTTAATATGTATAGTAGATACCCCGTACCTAAAAGCCTGTTTCGATTTTTGGTATTGACTTTTAACTGCGTACGTTATTGTAGGTAATTCTATTATAAGTTGTGGCTCTAAGATTGATGCTCTTAGTAGTTTGTGTTGTAAGTAAAACTTCATGATCAAGGCTAGTCGACCAGTACTTTGTCATTGTTGATATTCAACAGTCTTTTTTATTAATTTAAAAAATGTTAACAGTACATCCATTGTTTTGTTCTAGTTTAAATTCTTATAACAACTTCATCGATTGCAAATATTTGGATGAATACCTATTAAAAAACAGTTGTTAATTATTAATCCAGCGTTAATATCCCGTTGGGTTATGTAACCTAACCGATATCTTGATGTGTTGTCAAATAGAAATTGAAGTTGTCTTGGTACAAAAGGAATTGTTGTCCGGTCACTAGTGTAGATTAAACTTGTCGGTTAGTAAAAATTTAGAATGGACTCGTTCGAACAAGAAAACCAGCCAGAAAAGTAGAGCGGTAGTAGGCTCGGGGCGGCCACTGGATTTTAATTACTCCGACGGGGAGGAGTTTCGGTGTAGACGCTAAAAACAAATCTTAAATGTCGAGAAAAGAAATCCCCATAAAATCATAACAGCAGCATGTTAGTAGTGCGTACATTATGAGCTCTCTAGCCGCGGTTGATCGTTTGCGGCAAAATTGCCATTGGGGTTTTCTTGTCGATAATGTTTACAACTCCTTCGGATGCCTTGTAAATGGATCGTTCGGTTTCTACAGCTAGCTGCAGCTGGACATTAAACATTATCTAAAATCTATCGGTTAGCGTATAGCAACGCTATTAATAATGTGTTATATCTAATGACTAACGTACACGATAGCAACAACCACCGTCAGCGATGACACAAGTGCCTAAATAGAGTGTTGAAAATAATCTCAAAGACAATCGTGATTTACATAACGTTTTTTTTATTCTGGACTGACATTGTCTAGTCACAAACTATATCGCACTATTCTATTTAAAATTTAAGGATAGTTTTGGGAGCAAAATGGTACTCAAAAGTCGTATTTCGAATACTACAAAGTCGAAAAGATACATAAATAATATACCTTTTGAAAATATGATAATAAGTTAATCTATATTTTTTAGTTGGAACCAGGTAGTACTTACGACACCTATGTATGATAAAGCATTAGTGAATTAGGCTCTTATTAAGTCCTCGTTGATCGTTTTATTTACAATATAACATACCTACATTTATTATTTTCGAGTAGGTCTACTCGTGATTGCACAATACTTTAAACACTACTAACATTTTTATGGGAAATTTTCTTTTTAAATTTACCAGTTGGATGCCAAATATGCAGTTGGATAAATGCATCTTATGATCTTAAATAATAAAACAATTGCATGTCGGGCATAGTACTTCTTCATTCAGAAATAGCTGATATTATGTAATTAACTGCAATTTTTCGGTCTAACCATTTGTTCGAATTGTTGTCGTCGTTCTTGTTCTCAAATTTATCAACAGTGGTTTTCATCAATGCGATATTTAATTAATGTATTACTTTTTGTGTACGGTTTATTATTACCATTGAGTATATATTGTCAATATATACTCAATGTTATTACTTAAATTATTTACAGAATTTTGATAGCAACGTTTTTTTTTTGTATGGTTTTACAGTTGGACGGATTGAACTGTACCGGAGCAGGAGGAGCACCGGGAGGCGGAGTGCCTACTCGCACCACTCCGACGTTGACTCCGACCACTATGCGTACCATAGAAGACACCCTGGAATCCGTTGGAGTCGTACAAGGGCCGCCGGCGGCCGATTTTAGTTTTGCCGGTCAGCCCCCGTCCGCTTCGGACCTACACCACTTGCTGATGGACGGCCAACAGCAACACCACCCACAGCAGCAGCAACAGCAGCAGCAGCAACAACAACAACAACAACAGCAACAACAACACCAGCAGCAACAGCAACACAACCAACAGCTTCCGGACCGGTATCAAGCGGGCGCCGGGTGCGTGTTCTTGACCGACACGATAGCCACCGGAACGGGACATACGCCGTCCGCCTTGCAACAGCGACAGGCCGGTTTCGTGCCGCCACTAGTCCATCACAACCCTAACCCCAACCAACAACAACAGCAACCCTTGCAGCACGCCAATCAACCAGGTAAACAAAAAAAAAAACATTAATCGACTCGGCGCCGATCCGAGGACCAACTTTGGTCTTTAAGTCCAAACAAGAAGTTAATTAATTTTTGTATTTGTCTTGTCCGTAGCTATTTTGTTGAGCACGGCGTTGAGCATGGTCAACAACAAATCGTGGCAAGGAGTGGTGACCACTACCCAACAACACAAGGACGCTACGACCACCGAGGACGACGATGACGAAGACGAGACGTCCGACAGCGACACCTCGTCCAAGAGAAAAACGCCGTTGAGGAACACTAACGGCCGGCAAACGGGTGGCCGCAAAAAGAACGGAGCGGCTTCAAAGTCGTCGCAGGCCAACACATCCGGCGGAGGAGGAGGTGGTCGCCGTTCTAACGGCAGCGGTAGAGACAAAGTGGTAAGCAAAAACATTTTGAATGTAGAGAGTGTAGAATAACAAAATATAAAGTTAGTTTTCACAAAATGTAGTATAATAGATTAATTAAAAAAAAAAAACCCCAACACCTGTCCCTGTATTTAACGAAGTTTTTAAACTTTACCTATGTATTATACTTTTGCTGAAAATATTGAAAAAAAGACCATCTTTTCCTTGTACTCTTTAAATGGAATTAGGGTTCAATATTCTCATTGTAAAAATGATGTGATGAGATGGAGTCTAAACTGACTATTTTATCTAAACAGAGATGTCTATACTTTGTTAATACTAACATAACATCACTGATGGCTAGGATTTCTACAAATTTACAAGTAAACAATTATTTAGGTCCGTAGTTTACAACTGTCTAATATTAAAAAAAAACAAAATATGTATTAAAAATATACGTATTATTTGGATAATGGCAATGTTTTTTTTTCCGGAGGTTGAGGGGAAACAGTAATGCACTACCATTACAAGTTGATTTTACCATCAACAATAACATTTAAAAATGTTGACAGATTATAGTAATAAACATTCATTGATTTTTTTCTTCAATATTTTCACAGTGTTTTTTTATGGTTTTTTTGTAAGAAAGGTGATAGAAAAAAATTTCAGCAAAAGTAGTGTTTGTGTAATTACATACAGCGTTTTTTTTTTTTTTTGCTGTAGCAATATCTAATTATTTATTCAAAACATGCAAATTATTTTTAAAATAAAATTAACAAACCGCCTTAGTTTTTCAAATGTGTACAATATGTTTCTAAATTGTATAATTTATGGTTTTTATTTTGACTTAAAATTATGGCCATTCAACTTACAACTAATAGTGTTTTAATATTGGCTACGAACCGCTAAGATTATGCACAAAAATCCACATGATTTTAAGCTTCAGTTATGGCTAATTAGTGTTTAAGATTAGATTAGACACCGTGTAGTCTAGATTAGATGAACGAAACATTGAAGCACCTCTCCGATAGAAATATGTTATAAAATATTGTTGACTTTATTAAAACGATATTGATTTTATTATTATTATTTTTTATCTAACCGACTTAAGCGTCACAAATTGTAATGATTTCAATTTTTTATTTTGCATTACAGCTGTCGGCCGAAGAAGAGCACAGGAGGCAAGTGCGAAGAGAGCGAAACAAATTGGCTGCAGCTCGGTGTCGTAAGCGTCGTATGGACCACACAAATGAACTGCTTGAGGTAATTGATAATTATCAATATCACAATGGTTGATACCATAAAATTATCCTACCTTAGGCCTATATTGTTGAACTATTTTCATTTATTAAAATGCATATGTGTGTTTTAGGAAACCGACCAGCTGGAGGACAAACGAAAGAGGTTACAGCTGGAAATCGAAGCCCTGCGGCAGCAAAAACAGGATCTGCAACAATTGTTGAACGAACACAGCCGCCAGTGTCGAGTCAAAGTGGAACCGCTGGATGAAGAGAAGGTCGACGTATCCACCGTTGTTATCACGTCCGTTGGCGTCCACAATGTCGTAAAACGTGAGACACAACTGGAGGCAGTCCGACGTCCCACTTTGTTGCGGCTTAACGACAACAGCTGCTCGTCGTCTCGTTTGCCTCAACAACAACAACAACAGCAGCAGCAGCATCAGTCGCACCGAAACAACGTGCAAAAGGTCGAATTAAACTTTGAGTCGCTCATGGACGGCGGAACCGGACTGACACCGGTGTCGTCGTCGGCAGCTATGCAACCAGGCGGTAACGCCGTATCGTGATATCCGCCTTCATCGCCGTAGAGGCCACCCTAGTTTGCCGCCGCCAGTCTCACCATAGTTAAAAGTGGCCATTTATTTTTATTTTTTAATTTAATAACTAAAATTAGCTTAACAATTATTCTCTTAGTTTTATTATATTTTTTTATGATTATTGATTTTTCTTCCGTTATCGCTGTTTTAAATTACATTACTAGACAATTATTTAATAATATATAAATTTATATTTTTATTAGTTTTGTGTATTAAATTTTTTTTATTATTATTATTATCATATATATATATATTTGTGACTAAATTATATACAGACGACGGTGAATTATTGTGTATTGGAAAAAAAAAGTCAAATCAAAATTTGAGCCAACAGAGTGAGCACCGCCGCTTTTTCTTTTGTGATATTTGAATCATCGTATTTTGTACCTTATTTTTTAGCTTTCATTTATCATCAGAATAATATTATTATTATTAATCATTGTACAGTTGATGTAAAAAATTTTGTAGACAATGATTTTTACCAGTGTTTAACAACTATTTTGAGCCAATGAAATATTTTAAAACGTGTGTTGGACGCTTTATTTATTGTCTTTTGTGCCTAAATTTATTATTATCGATTTAAAATAACCGAATTGTTGGAGTAATTTGTAATCTGCCCCGGCCGAATTACAACATTGCAAACGTGTACACAGATAATAACGATATTAATACTTTGTATAATAATATATATTCTATTTATTTAATGTATTTATATTTAATATATATATATTTTTTTTTTGTGTAGAGATATAATATATTTGTATATAATAAAATATAATATAGTAATCCAAAGACACTTTTTTTTTCTATTGGTTTTAATCTGGTATAATATATTCGTATTGGGCCCGGTAATAGTAATATTGCCGTCACACAAGACTACGCCGTTCATATAATAATATTTTTGTTCTATCGTTATTGTATCTATAATAATAATTTTAATATAATAATAATGATAATTTGATATAATAATAAGTAGTCTATAATATGATAATTATTAACGTTTATAATATGCGGTAATATGTACTGTACTATCTAATAATAGTAATAATAATAATAACGAAAAGTTTATGAATGGTAAACACTGACATTGTGAGTATAATGAGTTAAAACTGTTGTAGTACAACGACGGCTATCTGTTTCATTAAACATTTCAAGGTTTTTACAGTAGATGAATAATATGATGTAGGTCAGAAGTTAATAATATTGTAGTCGCTCTGAAACACTATGTTTGGTCCTCTAGTGAGTTTTTTGTTGTTTTTTTTTTAAACTCGTAGTATACTCGTGGTACGACGACTCTATAATGTGTACCACAAAGTAGTTTTGTACTGGGATTGTTTTGATATAGAGCATTTGTTTGTTTTTTGGTGGGGGGCTTGTGAACAGGCATTACAGGTAGGTTATCGATGGCAAAATACGGCTGGTTAGTTGGTTGTCTTTTGTAGAAGGAACATTGGAAAAGGGTTATTTAAGTAATGGTTAGGTATACAGCGTGATTTAAGAAGACAAGAGAGTCCAGGGGGGGGGGAGTTACTATAACAGGGAGGTGGACTGTTTGAGAGGAGAGAATTATGGGGTAGTGTTTGCACTTTTGAGGGATAAGTATTGATGGGAGTGTGGCTTAGGGGGTAGTAAGTAGTAAGGCTTTTGTTGTTTTATTTAATTCTTAGGGGGTAGTAGTATGTTGGGCGGGCGGTGGGTGTAGTTTAAATTTGGAAAGTCTTCGGGGTCGTCTGCTTGGCGTAGTCGGCCGACGGCATGGCGTGCGCTTTCTTGACGATGGCCAACTTGGAATGGGGGTCGTGGACGGGCAGCTGTCCGTAAGGCGGTTCCCGGGTACCGTGCAACATCAGCGTCCATTCCTTCAAAAAGCCCACGTTTAACGGTTGCTGCGGCGGCGGCGCGGCCTCACCCGGAGTAGTGGGTTCGGTGGCGGCGGTGATGGTGGTCGCCGTGTCCTCCTGCTGCTCTTCCGGTGTGTTGAACTTAACCTGAGCGTGTCAATCGAAACGGTATTAGTACACACAGTTAATATTATGAATAATTATAGGACGTCACTGCGTAATACCTCCAAGGTCCATTCGCCCGCCGGATACTCGCCCCAAGTGTGAGTGGTCATGAACGGCCACTTGGTGAACCCGTCCCGGCGGTCGTCGTCGTTCGGTCTCCTGCTCAGTATCATCGACCTGCGCAAAGTTTTGTGTGTTTTTTTTTTTAAAAAGGGGTGGTTATTTTTAAGGAGGCCCGTGGCGGACGTACTTAGTGCCCATAGGAGACGTCAAGAACAGCTCGACGTCGCCACGGCGAGTGGCGTTCAGCGTGATGACGGCCTGCACGTGCTCCAAGTACTTGACGTGAGTGTCCGTGCCTCGACAAGCGTCCGTGTTCAGCGTTAGCGTAAGCGATCCGTCTTTGCGCGACGTGAATTGCCTGTACCACAAAATAGAAATCACTTATCACAAAAACAACAGAAGTATTCATACAACAGCGTTAAAATTGTCCTAGTTCGTTATATTTTTTTAGTTTTTTCTAAGTTCTTTTATATATACTTGACACTAATATTGTAACCATAGTCTTAATAAAATGAAAAAAAAAATATTTTAATTAGAAAAAATGTATATATACGTTATACATATTTAACTATAAATGATGACACTATAAAATGACCACTTAAAATACACAAATGAAGCAAATCATACAAACAAAATAATTTTCTCAAGTTTTTTTTATCTTTTGCATTTGATATTATTAATATACGCTATTCTATAAATCTCTATTAAAAAAAAAATGTATTTTATATTGAGATTACGTAACTGGTATTTTTAGAGGCCACTGGATACCGACCATTTTTAAGGAGTTTTGTATAGGCAATATTTAAGAAAACAGAGGTTTTAATAAATTTCGAAAATGTCAATTAATTACCGGTTAATTTGTATAAGCTTCGTAGTATTATTTTTAGTTAAATCATTTTGTCTACGAGTAAAATCCATTTTAGTTAATATAATAGTACATGGTTTGTCCATCGCACAGGCTGAACCAGTGATCCGATAAGTAATCTGAAAACAGATTTGAATTCGACATGAAGTTTACTTGAGATTGGTTAGTGTACTTTTTTGATATCTTATTCCTACTACGCAAAAACCCGTTTGAACATTTTATAAAATATTAAAAGGGTTAAAATAAAATATTTAAAAAAATACTCTGACCGATCTCAAGTAAACTTTATGACGAATTCCTATCTGTATTTGGATTGCTTATCGGATCATTAGTACGGCCTGTGCGATGGACAAAAAATGATGAATTTTGACTGAAAAAAACGGTCGGTATCCAGGGGCCTTAACAGAATTTAGAAAATGAAAAATATGCAAAAAACAAAATAAATTTTGAATTTGGATTCAAAATGAAGGTTATCTAGCTATTTTTCGCTATTTTATACTTTCGATCTTTACCTGATACACACAACCGTCTCGTGTGCATTGCACATTATTGATTAGAGGTCGTATCGTGTCAAACTATGGATACGGGCCACGGTTGTAGACTTAAGTTAAAGTATAGGTAGTTAAGCTAATAGTTGAGCGTATAGAGAACTCTAAATTAGTTTGATAAAACAAAAACGTCTACCCTATTAAACCCAAATTCATCTAGTCCGCTATTAAGCCGTTTTGGTGCCAATCGTTTCGGTGAACTGGAAGAAAATAGATAGGTCTCTGAGCAGGCTCACGTCACAACACTAAACTAACTCGTTTGGATGATCGAGAACCGATCTGGATCTATCTGATCCTGGTCAGTTGTCTTGAAATGACAAATTAGGTCAGTTGCATGTTGATAATCTCTGTTTTTCCATCTATTATCTAACTTCTATCTATTATCTCTTTGCAGTAATAATTTCGCTTGACACTTTTATTATTTCCTATCTTTCTCAATCGATCCTATCTCCAGTCCACCACCTATCACTATCCTACCGTGGCCTAGTCTACTTTGTAGGCCGGTCCACTTTGTACCGGAAGCTGTTGTCCAGTGTACTGTACCTGTGCGTGTTGTGCGAGCCACCCTGACAGTGGTATCTGGCTGGCACGGTGCGCCACTGCTTGGCCATGCGAACCATTGCGCCGGCGTCCAGCACGCCGAACCCAAACAGATGGTTGTACTCGAGCCCAACGCCGTTCATTGTCCACTGGAACCGTCGCTGAGGTCCACCGCCAGCCGACCAAGACCGGTGCCGGTCGAACAGTGAGTTGCGCTTGGACGTCAACACCGTCAGATGCTGCACGTCCCTCCACGTCAGTTGGGGGCTGCGAATAAAATATGGATCATTGCGATAACAAAAAAGACAAAAAGTTAAGAGTATCCACACTTCTTGCAGATACATCAATACATGGACATGTCCTGCAATTTAGTATCTCTAATCTATTCTCTCTAATAATTCACCTCCATAATTTTCTTAAAACTCCTCCATACTCCCTCCATAATCCATAATGACGTCAGAACAGTGACACAAAACGTGAAGGATAAATTTTTAAAATGACCCCCCAGCCATAAGACATACCCATGTCAAAATCTAAAAAAGCTATTCTTATAGTTGAACACTCTTAGGCCTCGCCCGCAAGTGTATGGCAAGACTGGCAAGTGGCAATCGTAGACAAGGTAACTCTAAAGGGGTCGTGTGCAGCTCGATTGAAAACATAAGTACATAGGCGATTATTGAGTCTGAGCGCGTTCAACGAAACTGGGAAAATCTAATATATGAAAATATTTTACAGTTTTAGGTAGACTGCGACGATCTCAGTGACACCATCGTACCCTTACTAAGATATCGTAGTGCTTACTTGGCTTCCAAGGCTAATGCAAACACTCCGGCGGCTTCGGGAGCCGCGGCCGACGTGCCCGAATGTGATTTTGTGCATTTCCCGTACAAATCCGTAGTGGCCTGCAACAAACGGATGAGAACAAAATTATAATAAATCAATTCAAACCAGCGCATTGGAGACGTCGCTGCTTATGTCCTAGTAAATTCCAAACGGTCATTCACCGAGAAATTCGTGTCTAATATTGAATTGAATAACTTTCCATTGGCGTCACTGTATAATGTGTATAATAGAGCGGTATACTTACACCACTGAGCTCGAGCTACTAACACTTTTCCAAACAAACTTAACTCCGTGTTGTTTATAAACGCATAATAATGAAGTCCTGTGGGTTTACTGGGTCAGTCAATTTGTACTAAGCGACTGGACGGTGCAAAGGTAATGTAATATTATGAACACACACAAATCTTTTGAAACTTAAATGCTAACTATATATTTGATTAAATCAAGAAAATCGAGAACGATTTGCTGAAAATGTTGACTGATCAATAACAAGGTTTAGATAACTATATTTAAACGTTAGTAACTTTAAAAGTAATTATCCAAAACTGCAGTTTATCCATGGTTATCGATGAGTCAACATGTTCAGCAAATTATTCTTAATTTAAAAAGTTCATTGAATATTAGTACACGTTACCATTTAAGTTTTGTAAACACACAAATATAAATTATGTATTAGAAAATAATATAAAATTTGATTATCGTGAAATAACATTAACTTCAGTGACTCCAAAAAGAAAAACTCAAAATTGCAATTATTTTGAGAGAAAATGAGTGTCCAAGCGTACCGTTGCCAGTTATTGGCGAAATGAAAAAATTGTTGTAAAAATTAAATGTAAAATTTTGCACTCCCCCTAACTTTTTAAATATTTTGCATCCCTGTCGGGTGCCAGCTTGCTACCCTCCACGATCCGGCCCGGGAGGGGGGGGCAGCACCTGGCCCACCTATACCAAGATGTGTCCCAAGTCCTATTCGAAACTAACCTAACCTAATTGCCGGAGGTGACCCCCTTAGACTACCGGGTAAGCGTATATACTAACCACGCCGGTGTTGGGGTCTTTGGCTCCGTTGCTGAACGTGCTGGCCAACGTGGACGAACAGCTCTCGTCGTAGTGTGCGTTTTGACCGTCGTTGATGGCCGAGTTGATGGACACGGTCCACATGCTTGCCGCGTATCCGTCGCAGTTGCAGTCGTCAGCCTCGCCCCCGTCGCCGCTGGCCCACACGTAGATGTTGCCCTTGCCTTGTCGACCCTGTACAGAACACGCAAAACAAACATGCGTTACAATACTACACGACCACATCTGCATAGTGAGATTGAGGCGGTCGCCACTTATTAGACGTGTCACACCGTAGGCGGTTAGGCCAACCGGGATACCGGCCATTCCCGGTAGGTCCTTTTCTTGTTAGGCTTTTTCTATAATTGAAGGGATGAGTGTATAATAGTGTTAAGTGACATTTTTTGTAAAATAGTTTTCAGTTTGAATAGTTACATACAAATAGTTTGAATGAATGAAGGTGTTAGGATATATTACACAATTTAGCAAAATATTATAACAGTTGAATGTGTGTTGAGCTTAAAAATTAGAAATTTTCCAAGCATTTCAATATATATTAACTAAAATTTTGCCCAGTTTTGAAATTGTCACTGAACACCTTTATCCACAATAATATATATAACAATAGCCAGAATAATTTATGAATTATTATTTAACATACCACTCATGAAAATGTATGTTTGTATTTATAAATACAAGTTTTACAATTTGTGTATACTTTATTTTAATATCAAATACGTTTTTTAAGGTTTGACTAAAGCAAAAAATTTTTTTTTTTAATTGAAATTGAAACGTATTAAATGCGCATGATAGAAACAATAAAAATGAATACATTTTGTGAAATGGGTGTGGGAAGCGAATCGTGTGTCCTACGAGTCGGTCCAGTGTGGCTGACCAGCTACTTATAAGTGGCTTTAGTCCGTTTTTAATAGTTTGTTGCCGGTAACAAAAGTGTAACCAATCCAAAGGCGGATAACTGATTGTAATAACCAGAGGTGGTTCTGTATTGCAACGACTCGTGTGACTGAAAGGTGACGTTTTGAGTCATAGGAATAGTTCATACGGGTCTTTGGCCTCGTAGTATTTACTTATGATGTAAATGTCAGCGTGTAGTAACAAATTACCCGTGTAAAAAAAATATAAATAAATAAAACAATAACCAATTTAATTTCGTTACCTCGTTAACACCGCGTACAATGGCCCGCATAGTCGCGTTCCTCGGGCCGTCCACCGTCTTGCCGTCGTCCGTCGGTCCCCAAGAAGCGCTGTAGATGTCGATCAGATCCGGTTCGTGTCCCATGCTGTTGGCCTCAATCAGGTCGGTCATGTAAGGCTGGTCCAGCATGCGAATGCCTAAGAAATATTTCACCCAAAACGATCAGCTCGTTCAACTCGTCAACTTGCTGGGCTAAATTACACCCCAAAAGGGAAAATCGGGATTATCCGGGGGGCAAAGACAAGACTGGTACTTACCGGCTATTTTGGAATCGTACGCCACTCCTGTACCGCATACGCCGTTGTCCCGGGCCGCGGCCACCTCGCCGGCGCATCGGGTCCCGTGACTGTTGAACCAGTCGTCCGTGTACCTGGGATACGGGTACGGGTCGTTGGAACTGAAATCGTAGCTGGCCTTGGCGTTCTGCGTGCCAAAAGCAGATTGAAAATTATTATTATTAACCCCAATGCAAGTGTCGCATTCAGGTTTCCCCTATCCCGAACGGATCCGGATCCGCACTGCCCCCTTATCTAAAGTCGGAGAGATCCGGATCCAGATTTCCTGACCAGAGCTTCCCATTACTATTATTTTATGCTGAGAAGGGCGAGATGCCGCAGCTGGTATCTTTCCCTCTCGGCGTGCACGTCACCAGTCAAAGGGGCGGGTGTGGACGGATGACCGGACGGGTTAATGGATTTGTCGGATCAAATAGAATTCTATATTATGTTGTTGTATTATCGAGGACGCGGACGGGCCGACGCCAAACCCCCGGGGAGGTACGCGGTTTTTCCGGACCGTCGACCGGGCATTTGATTAATATTTGATGGTGCCAAATTGAAACCGACCGTGTGTACCGAACCGGCAAAATCGCCCGTCAGCAGCATATGACACCACACACAGTGAATACTAGATGAAACGGTGTATAATATGTAATATGATTATGATATTTTACGGTATACTCACGTAGTTGTATTTCAGGTCCAAATGCGTGTAATCCACACCTGCCGTAACAACGTCACCATACATTAGTCAATATACATTATTATATTAGTAGTGTGCACTGTACTACAATATGCACAAGGTATAGAAGCGGGCGTAAAAAAAAAAAAATATATCAGTCGGTTAATTTCCGAAATTTGTTGGTATATTTATTTATAACTGAAACGGAACAAGCCCACCTGTATTATCGGTTTTATTAATAATCATTTATATAATATATATATTAATTATTGAAAAATCGAAAAACTCCAAACAAAAGTTTTATGTACTCACCCTTACAATACAATTTTGGTTTAAGAAATAAACTTCATCGATTTTAAAGGATTTTTTTTCGTTGCTTAACTCTAACTTGGTCTCAGATTTTTATTTGTTTATAAATTGGTTTTAAAGTTGTGAAAAGTATATTATATTATTTTCAGCGTGCTCTCAGAATATAATTGTTTACTCTTGGAGGTATGTAAAAATCGTAAAATTCCCATAAACAATAGACGTTATTTTTTGGCCTCCTGCGAGATTCGGTATTTTAGAGTGAAATAGTTTTGCTAAATAGGTTGGCGTAATAATATATTGTAACAAGAAATAGATTTACTCTAAAACTGAAGAATCCGAATCGATTAAATACCAAAATTATAGAATAAAATAGATATCACCAAAAGTACCAAATTATTTCCCCATAAGTTGCCCGAATGGAACTCCCTTTCAATAAGAATCCTATTGGGGATCGGCTAGGGTTTTCTTCCAAAGTAAAAGTCGTCATTTAGACACTACGGGTAGTAGGATCGGAGTGCAACCGGAGTGGATTGGGGGGAATTCCAGACTCTTTGGAAACTTTATCAGTACTCACCGTCGTCCATTATGGCCGTGGTCACGTTCTTGCCGGACACTCCCTGGGCCCAAGCGGCCCTGACGTTCAGGTCCAGCCGGGGCTTGCCGCCGTTCTGGCCGGTGTTGCGCAGGTACCACTGTTCCGGGAACAGCGGGTCGTTGGGCAGCGGGTCGTTGACGTCGTCGTCGCCGTAGTACTGAGCGTCGAACGCGGGCCGAGGTACCGGCGGTGGCTGCATCATGGGTCCTATGAACGGCGGTATCATCTTGAACCCGCGCTTTACCCGCTTGAAGCCCGGCTGCTGGCTGACGGATTTCACCTGTAGGCAATGTGTGGCAACCCAATTATTTGATGGTGATCGCCAGCACGTTACACCGGAATGAGCGAACACCACTAACTTACCAGCGGATCTTTGCGAAGCAATCGGACGGCCGGCAGGGAACGCCGTCCCCGGATCTTGGGCAAACCGTGGTGCACGAACTGGAATTCGTCGGCCGTGCCCCTCACCTGTGTGGAAAAACAACAGTTTGACCATTCATATGATAGTGATTCAAATATAAGTTCTCAGTAGGTATTGCATTTTTAAAGGTTCAAACCTGGGGAATAAAATGTAATAAATATCGCAGATAAAATAATATAGTTGTTGAACTATAGTAATTATTGGCTCGTTTTTCCCCGAAGCTCTTCATATTATATATTTTATTATTTTTGTCCAATTTGAACACTTCTGGTGGAAGCGTAGGTACGCGAAAACGAGATGCTTATGGGCTTGTCAAACCGTCTTGTTGCCCTATCCAAGTGTCACACACGACCAAGCTTTATAAGAGGCTTATCCCGACCAACCCCTACTACCGTTCAAGCTGATCTCTTAAAATAATTGACGTTTTGAAAAACAATGTGAAAATGATAAAATATTTACCTTTTTAAATTTGTATTATAGCCAGAACTCTATCGACCTTTGAAACGTAAATCGAAACGTTTATATTTAATTGACTATTTAAATCAAGAATAATTTGCTAGACGTGTGGACTGGTCAATATCCAGTTTCGAGTAATTCCTTTTTGAAGTTATCAACATTTAAAATGTATGACGGAAGGTGGAGTACGTTCTAGTAATGTGCGCACATAAAAATAATACTACACTCCATCGTTCCACCTGTCCTAAATTTTTAACTATAATAACTGAAGAATAATTATTCAAAATAGGTTATCGATCAGCCAAATGTATAGTCAATTATTCTTAAGTTGAACAGGAAACGGCTATTTTTAAGAGAGCTACAAGATAGACAATATTTGACAAAAATTGATTTAATAGCGATTTTAAATATCAAATATGCCTACTAATTTTAAGGTAAATTTATTTTTTCTAGTTATAAAACATTAAGAGTTACTTTTTTTAAGTTATGTCGAAAGTTCGATAAAACTTGAATTTTGGAATAATATTTGTTCAGTGTGGTTATTTATTTTTGATTTAACGGTTAGACAATTAGTTAAATTTGCGGGAATAAATAAAAATAAAGACGTTTGCAATCATTAATATTATATTTAGTGTTATCTTTTAAGTATGATGAATCGCATAATTTTGATTCGCATAATGTTATGTCGAGTATTGATAATGGTTCTGTACTTACTAGAGTGAAAAAAAACAGAATTGAAATATAGACCATGACGACGAAGCGATTCCCATGAAAATAGTAAGAGCCGTTTAACATTTAACCACGTATGAATACATTATAACATATGAAAATAGAAAAACAGTCATACTTACACATTTTTTTTACTAATAAACGTTTAAAATTTAAAAAAATCAGTCTTTTTAGCTCCCATAGAACAGATGTTTAACTTTATAACAAGCAAATTATTTTTGAAATTGGTTAGTTAGACAACATGGGAAGTGGCTTTGCGTTTTTGTGTTTATTTTGGTATACAATTTTGATCACTCAATGTAAAAACAATTATAATACTGTTTAATAGTGTAAAAAAGCATTATCTAAAATGTCTCCAAAAAAGAAAAATTCAAAATTATAATTACTTTCAAAGGAAACGTATGTTTTAGGTTAAATTGATCACCATGTGTGATGTATATTCGGACGTGTGTTTGTGTAACAGTCGTTATGCCGTTTTTGTATGCTCATAAACCGCATTGACAGTATTACAGTACCTTCTCTGTGTATTGATTTATATCATAGCAGATTTAAGAAGAGCGGGAAAAGAGGCTGTGCGGCGTACACTTAATCCTGGTTCGTGTATTCTGGGTAAAACGATGCTTGCGTAGGGTGTTAAAACAATCACATGAGTATAAGGGCGGGTCAAATATTATGAGCAAAACAGCGCTATTATAGCCCGAGAGGTATTGAAAAAAAAGTTTAGCGAAAATGGTTTAATTTTATATTTATTTTGCTTCAGATAAAAGTACAACATTATGACGTGAATAAACGTAAATAATAATAATAATTAATTGGCATAGAGTGCAAAACTATAAAGTTCTTGATGTGTACAGCTGGTGGAAATAAAGAAGTAATAAATATATCTAGAGTAAATCTGGAAACATATGTCGGGTAGTGGAGACAGTTTTCAGGTAGACGTTGCGGACAATACGGCATAGCTTATACGCCAGGTCAGGGTAGGTTAAATTGAATAATTTGAGAAAAGTATAAGGTATTCTACAATGTAAATTTGCATCTAATGTCATTATCGTTCACTTCAATTATGTGCATTACGTTAAGTCCAAACCGTGTAGAATTTTTATTTTCAATCCGTTATAGATGTAATAATAATATTTTTTCACGTACCTATCGAAATAGCACCTTAAATAAACGAAAAATCTTAAGTATTCTCGAGAAATATTTAGAGAGGGAGAAGAGAGAAGTTTTTCAAATCCATCTAAGACTTGTGAGATTATGTACGGCCACAACAGCTGTTAGCCACGACGTGGACGCACCTCTTTTTCCGGGAAAACCTAAACGAGCGTTCGTGAAAACGTTTGGTTTTTCAAAGGTCATCGGAGCCGCGTAACGGATACGGTGGAACCTATCAACCGTAATATCCAATAATTACATTACAGGTATATATTTCACCGTACATACAATATAGTGTTGTATAATATGCTGCCACCTACGCGACAGTCGACAACATCAACGCAATGACGTCAGACAGCCACCATCAAGTTTAACCCACCCCTCTCTCGCATCACTCGGCCGTGCTCACCGCGTGAAACCACCCTAACCGCCGCCGTTTCCGTCCTCCTACCTTTCTTCCCCTATTCACCCGCCACCCCATCGGCCGATCGATAAGACAATAATTCAACGTTGTGTTTACCACCTGCTGCTGTTGCAGCGGCCGGAGCGATTAAAAAAATAATTACGCGCGCTAATTATCATAACTGTTGTTACGGCGAAACTGTCGCGTCGTGTTTACCGCAGCCTGATAGTTATCACGCCGTGACCACGGAGCTCAGCGATGTCGCGCGATATGCTCCGTCGTCGTCTTGTTATCCACGGCCAGCATCGCACCGGCCGTGGGCCCATTGCCCGAGCTCACGGCAGAACGGGTCAGGTGGCCCCTGGCTATTTTCGCTGACGTCCGTTGGCCATATGCGTCACGTCGGGGGACACTGTGTACCCCCCTACATTACACACGGTATTATGATGATTACTAGCTACGGTACCATACCTTGCCGACGTTCTGGAACGCACCACCCGTTCGCCTGGCCACCATGTCGGCGTGCGCGTCGTTGCCGGTGTGCAGCTTCACCGAGAACGTGTTGGTGTACAAGGTGGTGCCGTCGGCCCGCGCGGCCAACAGGACCACCGACACGACGGCCGCGGCGAGCGCGATCGCGGTGCGGCGCATACGGCGGCCCGCGGTGCCCCTCTGACGGCCTGTGCCGCCGACGGCATGAAGGTCCGCCATAAAACCACTGTTGGAGTACGTGGCGTGTACGACGATGGGTCGCGGCGATGCTTAGTAAGTCGGAGGCCACCAACGGATCGGTCGGCCTAAGCAATACTGCGCGCACGGACAACGTCGTCGACGACGGCTGGTGCCCGCTTGGTGTCGGCCGTTGGCGGCCGCGTCGGCGCCGTGGCCAAAGCTAGGATGGTACGCGAGCGGGGAGAGGGCGAGGACTAGGCGGGCGTGGGCGGATAACACGGCGCCGCCGCCGCCGGGGGATGTACTTGGCTCCGGGCCGGACGTGGTGCGCGCGGCAAAGTTTTTAAGCTACGGCGGAAGATAAGCCCCGCAGGTATTGTCCTCCGACACTAATACACTCGACTGAATGATAATTTCACGTCAGACAATATTTTCTTTTCCGACGACAGCGCAACAAGGTAAACTATATTACTTTCTTGATTTTTCAAAATCAAGCGAGTACGGTTTGAATTGAAATGAAAAACAAATTTGATGTAAATGATTTTAAGAGCTTGTTGCGAATAGGAAAAACAACGAAACACTACACGCTAATAGCGGGAAGATAGATATTTGTGTTAGCTTAATATAAGATGATATTGTTCAAGTATAGACTGGGTTGCATATCCATTCGGTATAATGATTTGAATTTGAAAAAAGTCTGCGTGGTACATCTTATAAACGCTAAATTTTCTCTTAAATCTCTTAAACTATACGAGATAGAAAGTTGATTCTAAACTCATTAGAAAGAGCTCGTCTAGGATATACATAATACGAATTCAAAAACAAATTATTTAATGTTTTACAATTAAAACAATTGTCAATTTTCTTTCATCTTATTATCAGCTAACCACAGTGTCAGCTTAAAGGAAAAGGGCCTAGTCTGAAAAAAATTACTCGACTAGGTATAGTCAATTTTTCACCAAATCTTAATTCAGAGCCTAAACCATAGTGTATACTTAATATATTATACAGTAATGACTAATGAGGATTTTTTTTATTGGTCGTATTTTTTTTTTTTACAGATTATCGCAATCATTTCTGTAGACAAAATTATAAATCTACCACAACAAAATAGTTTTGCTTGCGCAATCAAGACCAAAGCGTTTTGGAATTATTATTGTTGTAAAATCACCTGAAATTTTTCACAGTACTCCACGTCGGACAGTAAACCAATCACCAAATACATTATGTACAAATTAATGGCTGTTGTCGAGAAAAATAAAGGGTTCACGAGTAAACCGCACAAATTCCGTTCTCGGTTACAGGAGTATCGTAGCATATAGAATAAATCGGTGGTATAACATATTTATTATTTTAGAAGAAAAAACACTATTGACATGTTATTTTAGATTTACTACTTGTACCGATAAACACACATGGTGATCCATTTAACGGAAGACGCTCATTTTCTTGGGAAATAATATTTTGTAGTTTTTTCTTTATAAAAATTGTTTTATTAATGTTATTTTACAGTACCTAAAAATTACCAAATATTAAACTTTTTCTAGTATTTTGTAACTTAGTGCTATTAACTTTTGAAACTTGAGTTATAACGTGTATATTCAATGAACGTTTAAGCATAAGAACAAATTGCTGGGAATATTGGCCGGCCTATAACCAGTTTTGAATAATTACTTAAACATTTTTATTGGGGCTTAAAATGTTGAACACATACGTAGCAATCTAGAAAATCGCTACGGTCAAAGTGTACTTTTATCCTCTTTTTATTGGTTTTTTTTTTAATTATAAAAAATTTTAATTACAGATGTTTATGAAAATAATATTTGTTATATCCCCTATCCACATAACATCTAATTTGCAGACCTTAGATCCTAAACCTCACTTAAAAAAGAGAAATACAGAAAAATTATCCATTACTAATAAGTGAAAGGGCATATGGTATTTTGTTGATTTGTCAGTTCATCGGTAGTACTATGTTTAAAAAGTATTCCATGCAAATGAGAGATTAATTAGACTGTTTTTGAAAAAGTTGTTTAATTTTAACTTGGAAAATATGTAAATTGTTTAGGTGTTTTTCTCGATTAGTGAAGGGAAAGGATATCCATAGATATTTTATCTGTATTACTCAATAATTACTGTGCAGAATAAAATGTAAATTTTTAAAAATGTTAAATTTGGGATTGGTGTGATGTTAGAATGTATGCGGTCCGCGAAAGTGAAGATTAAGAAACGCGTTAATTGGACATCGTTTTATAAGCGGCTTATATAACTAATAGTTTGTATACATGTTTTCAGTGAAATTCGTCTTTGAGACTGAACTTGTACAGTTTAAAGAAGATTCGGAAATGTATGGTACTAATAATAGTTATTTACTCTTACATGTGTCTTACATTATAAACAGATTAATCTATACTTATGTAATAATTGATGGTGGTTTTTATTTTAAATGATATGAATCATTTACAATAATGATTAAAAGACAAAAACGAACACAATGCATTATAAATAGGTCAGCGCAGCGGGACGTGTTTCCTTAATGTTATAGAACCACTCCCACGGATTCTGTTGTGTTCTTGCAAAAACATAATAATTTGGTTTCAGTACCGTTAACGCATATGCTCTGATTACCATACAAGTTCTGTCTACTTATAGAGCCAATCAACTGTAAATTGTTTTCCGTGTATCTAACGGTCGCCTCGAACTTGGCTTCTCCCGGCGTGGTGATCACTTGAACTACGAAGTCCTCGAGCTTGCCGTTGCCGCCGCCGGTCTCCTTGCTGGCAGACACTATCTTATGCAGTTTCAACTGTTCGCACTGCGGATGAGTTTTTAACTTGACGTTAATGTGGTCAACGAGAGCGCTGGCCACGCGTTCAACTTTCGAGTCATCCGTCTCAAGCGAAATGACCTTATTGTGACAAGCGCAATAGTGCATGGGTATGCCGGCCGACTCGCAGGTCCTGTTTTCCGGGACTTGCGTGAAAAGGCTATGGCCCAGATCGCGGGACGGTGGTCGCCGGTTGACAGCGTTGTCCTCCAACTGCTTAAGGTCGAGGAAATCCAAAAGGGTCTTATGAGTATCGTACGGCGTGGTCAGCCTGTCGACGTTGACCCGCAAGTTCTGCATGGCCACCTGATACTTGGCCTTGAACCATTTTGGTAGAATCAACCTCAACATGGGAAGTCGATCCTCCAGACTACCTTGGTAGGTGTCCCTAAACGGTCCAAACCTTAGACCGTGGTCGCTCATCAGCACCACCGCCGTTTTGTTTAGATGCCCCGACTGGTCTAAGAATTCGAAAAAGTCTCTCAGACACTCGTCGCCGTGCCGCATTATGTTTAAGTAGTCGTGCGTGAGACTGGTGCTCCAGAAAAATCCAAACGACAAGTGGTCGTCCGTGGACCGAACGAACTTCCGTACATAATCCAACAGAAACGTCATTTGCATGCTGTCGCCAATGCACAGGTCTGTGTAGAGTGGACTATTGTGGCCGATGTCGTTTTCGGCGGCAACCATCATGGGCCTGATGTACCTGTCGGTAGGCTGCTTATGGAATCCGTTCTTCTGAAAGTTGAACGCGCCAATTAACGGGGAGTCTTCGCCGAAACCGGTTTCGTAGCCAGCACGCTTGAAGGTGTCCCACACAAAGGAACAGTCGTCAAAGAAAGCTTCTTGTTTCGGCCAACAACTAGCCGCAAGCTCGGGCACCGAATGACCCGAGAGCGTTGCCACTAAATTCGGAAACGTGTTGTACTCCATCTTGTTGTAGCCGAGCATTTCCACGACTCCAAATTTGGATAGCAACTCTGCCGTTTTGGGCATCTGACGGTTAAAGTTCAACCGCGAAATGCCGTCTAAGCCTATCACGAGCACGCTGACTTTTCCATCGTCTTGTTTCGCTGCGGTAGACGACTTGGGAATCACGAATCCGTGATAGGACCTGTACACTTCGGTCGACTCTAACATACACCACGCTTTCACGAATTCGTCTGTCACCGTCACCCTGTCTTTGAATTGTTTTTTCATGCCAGTCCTAATGATAAAAAAAAAATGAATAAATACTTATATACATACATGCTTCAGTCTAGTCTAGCCTCTGCATAATTTCTACCACATCAATTTATTTTTGACTAATTTAATGACAAATTAACTCATTATTTTTTTTAGTTTTGAGTTAAGTAAATAAAATAACCAACCATACTTAAATGAGATGGTTCTTCAGGCATACTTTAATCCTTTAGTTATATTATCTTCTATAATATATTATAGCGTTTAGGTATCTTCTATAGTAAGATAACGTCTATCGAGTATTACCTCCTCGGAGTTGTTTCCTTGATCTAAGACAACATTGGGATTTAGCGAAAAAAATATGCATTTTTGTTCTTTACATCCATAACTAAAAGTACAATTTTTAATGGACTTTTATGTTAATTATTGTAATAATTTAACGAAAACAATTTTGTTTTTAATAAAAATATAATCTAGTTTCAAATTAATAAATTTGATTCGATTGGAATTATAACCTCAGGGAACGAGTAAATTTGTTCTGGAACGTTACAGGTGTTAATAGGTATAATTGTTGGACTAATGGGTTTTTTTTTTTAGAATATGTATCATGTAATGATAAAAATGCTAACCATGCTTGAAAAATTGACATAATGTAAACATTGACATTGTGTAAAAGCGTTATTTAGACAAAACCAACTTACAAAAAATCATTGTCAAATTTGGTGTCTTCTTTGTTCGACGCTGTTGGTTTTGGTCGGCTCACGGGCTCATAATAGCATGTCAACGAAGGATCGTTTTTGGATAAATTTAACTTAGCCCAGATACCGGGGTTAATTATGAGGTCCGTCTCGTCCGACGTAATTGCCTTGAAGCCTTTCAAACGACTATCGTGTTTTGGACTAGTGCAGTCTACTTCAGGGTCTGTATCCAAAAACTTGTCTATCGTCGGTCCCCTCGTGAACATTTCCGGTATACGACATCCTGATGTATTGATCAAGTATGCATTTGATACTGAAATGTGAACACATTGGTTACTTGGGCACGGGCAAAAATGGAAATTTGTAATAATAAATTGTACTATAAATTTGTTTTATATAGATTAAGCCATTGTTCCGACTATTGTAAAGTAAGAAAAAATCTATAGATTAGTAAGTTCATACCAAGCTCAGTTCAAACCAGTATTGTCCAAACCAAGCACATTAAGAAAGTAGGCATTGAATTGAGATGCAATGTCCACAGATACGCATCGAACCGTTGTAATAATTCCTAGTTAGTTATAATTATTCCTTTAATATGTTATAAATACTCAAATTCTTAACTCAAAGAGTTAAGTTACCGTCATAATATCTTTGCCATGCTAATTTTTTAATTTTCTATACTCTTGTTGTACAATGGGCACAACTTTTTTTTTTAATATTATTTTTGTGATAACACTTACTCACGTGATATCGATTCAACTTAATAGAATAACATGTGTATCATGCGATAAAAGTATAAAGGAAATTATAAACGTTGTATTAAGTCATGTATAAACACAGTAGGTAACTACCATTTAGACAATTCTACAGGAGAGCCAGTTTACTAAACATTAATAAGCCGGTGTAAAATCTCGATAATAAAATATTGTAATCTGGTTTCCGTTTTCTAGTTATTATTTTTATTAAATGGTGTTCACAGTGTTTTAGTTTTGGACACTAAAATCACAGAAAAAAATCATCTATTCTGTACTAAAATAATTGTAGTGGTTTTGATAACCGTTTACATAAGTCGAAATTTGTTATTAAGGTTTTTTTTTGATATTTGCCAATAACTTTAACATAATTTATCATTAAAATACCGGTATTTTTTTTTATCATGAAAAATGGTCGTTGATTCAGTTATGCTAACCGTGTGTTTGATATTAGTTATCAGCATGTGTCAAAAGCGCGCCAGATGGGTGCACATTATAATTTATAATGTGCATTGGGTCGTGACGGAGCCGTTGTTAATGAATTTTGAACAGTATAATGATAGATGGTAGGTAAAATAATATTCTCTAAATTCAATTTGGGACTGAAAGTAAAACTCTTTCCATATTTAATAAAAAAAATTAACTACACATCGCTAGCATTTATAAAATATATAATTAGTTTCTAATGAAGTCGTTAGTAATCGTTTTATCTCGTTGCCGGTTTGAAATATGTAAGTATTTTCAATAGGTTATTCTTCCACTCTGTTTTATAAACACTCAAAAATACTCCATATTTTGTTGAAATATATTTTTTTAAAATATTTGTATACATTTTAAACGCGTAATCAATATTTATACTCTTAGCTGAATAAAAAAAAAATATATTTTTCACAACACTAGTACCTAATATAAATACATAATATTATACCATAAGAAGTAACATATTTTTCAAGCGATATTTTTAACTATATTTACCGAATCCTATACAGAGTAATTATAGTTAAATTAGTTATATGTATTCGACTACTTACCGATATTATTCGAATCGATTTTGACGTTATTATCGTTGAAGGAACCATATGTTATTATGGAATAATAGGTGAGCACACATATTAACGTCAATGTGGCGAGCCATATAACCAACGACTTCATATTTAAAAAGCACGGGCACTGCTTCGGCATTGATCTAGATAATCAAAAGTACGTTATTAATAATGGTATTTAACTGATTTTAATACATAATAATGTGTTAGCACAGACACAGGTCACTTGAAAACCGTTTTGTAGCAAGCATAAGTACAAATGGTTGTTGGGAAAGCTCTAGATCACAACTATTAGCTATAACAAGGCGCGACCATTGTGTAGAATTTTACCGCTTGTATAGTACAACTGTATAAAACAATTTACATCTGCATGAGATTATGTACAGCTGTATAGACAATGTACAACTGTAATAACGTTCCAACTGTAATGACTTAAAACACTCTATTAACCATAGGTAAAAAATGTAGTTTTTGGTTAGTTTTTTTATTTTTAAAATTAAAATACCTATTCTTCAACGTTAACAAAAAAAAAAAAAAAAACACAGCGAACGTGTGTTCACACACATTTAAACTCCATGTAAATTTTATGTTTTTAACTGACACACTTTTGTTGCTATAACCTACCTGTTCGTTTTTTTTTTATAAAAGGAATGTTTATCGTTTATGAAGTTAACGAAAAATATTAACCACTTATAGATAAACTTAAGATGAAGTTTACCGTAAAGTTTGTTAGAAAAGTAAGATGGTTTTACAGTTTATTCAGATTCTAAAAAGTAATAATTACGTATAATCATTAGTTCATAAAAAAAAATGTCAAATTTATCTATTTTATGTATCAAATCAAATTTGGGTAAAGAAATGGAGTGGGAAGACCATATTATACAGAAATTTGCCACAACAAAAAGCAGAAAAAAAAGATGTTTAAGTATTGAATAATTTACTTAAAAAAAATAACCTTAACGGTATAATTTAAAATTTGTGAACTATAAAATTGTCTTAAGACAATGTAATAAAGCACAGATACATGGGCGTACGTAAAAACAATTTACTATAACTAAGACGTTTTTATATCCTTAATGATAAACCCAAGAAAACCCGTTTAAGACCTAAAGTGGTATATATTTTACGTTTTAAAACATTTTGTTCGTTTAACTTGAGGAGTTCGGGTCTAAGTTCTTGCTTCTTAAAGTCATACTTTATCCGAGCTCTTAATGAGCGGTCGATGGATAGATTGTAGCTTTTATGAACATTTACGTTTTCAAGCACATTATTGTCATTAGAAACAATGTTCATTTCATGAAATAATAAAAGCAGGATTGCAAAAAAAATTCAATATCTATGTGTACAATTCCAATAATAGTATTCCTGTTTCGAAGTATTTATCAACCTATGGCTTATTTATTAAACCTTTGAATTTTCACTATAACAAGGTATATTGGTGCAAAACCTAAAAAACGAAATGCGAACGCTATAATTTGATAAACTGAAGATATTTTTTTCGAATACATAAGTAACAAAAATCCGTGTTGTGTATATACCTACATTTTTTTTAACATTGTACAAATATCTAAAAATGTACTACTTTTTCAGCAGCTGTTAAAAAATATACTAGGTGTTATTGACTTAAGCTTAAAATTCTAAGTTTGTTTCGAAAAATTTGTCAACTTCTGATGTATTATAACCTTTATATTTTTGCTAAAAATGTATATCAATAAGATTACACACGAAAACTAAACGAAATTGACAATTTTCTACATTTTTTAGTAGTTGGATTGACTTGTTTTTCTAAAACTGAATATTTATTATATGAATGTAGAAAAATACCTATGAAAAATCCATTTTAAAAGAATATATATATATATAAATTGTCTACTTATGAAATAATGTTTTTTTATTTTATGTTAGTGTATGAGTACATACAAAAACTAAAAAATACAATTCGATAAATTCGTACAATGTTTTGTCATTTTATCGACTTACCTACAAATACATAATACTGGGGAACAAAAAAACAGCTTATTGAAGCGGAGTAAAGGTGCAAACCATTTTGAAGAAAATGTTTGTTAAAATTATTAATTTGTATAAATTATCTAATTGAACCAATTGAAAAGAAAATGTACGTTGATAACCGTGAAGATAATAATGTTATATATTTAACACAAGCTAGTGAAACTGAAATGATAACATATACAATTAATTAGTTATTTAAATCGGGAATAATTTTATGAAAATGTTGTCTGGTCAATTACTCAACTATACTCTACCTCCCATCCTAAATTTTAAACTCTAATAACTTCAATAGTATACTTACTAAAAACTGGTTATTTACTAAAAAAACTTTCAGTAAATTATTCTCAATATAAATAACTAACAAAATGTATACATTACCATTAAAATTTCAAAAGTTACCTTCCTAAATCTGACTTCTGACTGAAAAAAATACAATAACTTGAATCTATTATTGTATGTTAAAACCAAAAATGTTTTACATAGGTAACATTTTTCAAAATTTGAGCATATCATAAAAATATCAAGTATAGCGCGAAATTCTGATAGTGTCGTATACGCACTTTGGCACACGAACCGTTAAACACACACACACTTAAAATTGACGAGAGAAAAGGTAACACTTTTAAATTAAGTAAAAGAAAAGTAACTCAAAAGTTAATAACACACACACAGTTATAATATTCGTAAAAGTAATGTAAAAACAATAATGCACGCGACAATACTCTACTCGTAACAGAACGGTCGCTTACGGGAGAGTGCGACCGACAAAGTAATTTGGGCGGCCTAAATAATAAACATTATTGAAATTTTTACTGTGTAGGCAATTTTGTAAAGTTTTCTTTTGATTGTTTGGCCTACATTTAATTGCTTGTTTGCTAAAATACATTTGGCTTTAAAAACTATACTACAATAGTTCTGTACATGTATAATATATTATATAATTTAGCGTTTCATATAAACGTTTGGAATAACAAAAAAAAGAGCTAATTAAAGAGCTTTCACACATAATTATTTCTACTATTTTGATTACTGTGGTCGTTTTTACTACAGCTAAATTATTTATTAATTCATTAATTCACAATTCCTAGAAGGAGTAAAATGCATTTTTTATGTGTACAGTAGTAGCACTTAAGTCTGAAAATAAATACTAAAAGAACATCTGCTGTGACCTATTACAATAACGAGTTCTTCTAAAATCGTAACCTATTTTTTGAACAGCTTTGGCCGGTGTATCGTAAAAAAAATATTAACGAACATCAAACAATTGAGTATTTTACTTTTAAAACGTATGTACCTTCTAAACAAAACAATGGTTAAAAGCACACTACGAGTTTATTATATAACCACAGTACAATAGTTCTTATTAAAACTTGTTTTTCTCTGATTAAGGTTATTAGGACTGACACCACTATATGGTTTTTCCCCTTTTCAACTTCTGTTTACAGCTTAAGAAAATATAATATTGACGTTGACGCATCGTGTTCAAATAATCCATTTTGTTTGTCGTAAAATATATATATATATATATATATTAAATTTTGTTATTACAGTTTTACAGAAGTAATATTTTTCCAACATAAAATATCAATTCAAGAAAAATGTGTTTAGTTTATAAAAAAACTTAAAAAAGTTTATCATGTGGTAGTTTTTGTAAATTTTATGGTGCTAATTATAAAAACATATAATTATTAGGTATACTTATATAGGTATTGGTTTCACGATGATGTACTTTATTTTAGTTCATTAATTTTGTATCTGTATCCACGATAACTACCAACTTAGAATTTCGAAATAGGATTTTATACTAATTTAAAATACCTAAAATAAATATGAGAAGGCATTTTCACAGCCAAATTCAACACGATATTATGGTATTTTCAATAATTAAGTCAATTGTAATAAAACATTTTAATACATATTTATTTCTTGTAGCACACATGCATAGTTTTTGTAGATAGTATATGGGTTTAATCGTGGTTTTTTGTTTCTTTATTTGTCCTTGACAATATTGAAGAGCACAAGGGAAAAACGGTAGTAGTCACATTATGAACATTTTAGAGTATAGCAAAAACAAAGTTCGTTAATTCCTCTCCCTTTTACATAAGAACAAAAAAAATCACATTAAAAGCTATTCTAATAAAAAATGTATTTATTTAAACAATCTATTGGCATAAATTAAAAAGTATTAATGGCATAAATTGAAAAAAAACTATTTGAAAAAAAAAAATTTTATAATCTGACTACTACCGTTTTAACCCCTGTGCCCTTCAATTGTGTAGATAATAGTATTTTGGCAAAACATACATACTAAAAAACACTTTAACATAAGTAAAGTCTATTGTAAATGAGATGAACTTCTATGTTCTTCTTTTTATGACAGTAAACTGATTTCTTATTTTTTTTTTAGCAAGTTGACTCATAAAAATTTGTTTTTTTAATGTATTTAAATAACAGAAAAGTTTAGGAATATTAAAATAAATGTTAAGATGTATTATATTTAATATTAATTTTATAACTGGAATCATGTTTTTTTTAAAGCTAAAATAAATTTGCCGTACTGCCCTTTACATATGTGGTTAATCTAACCTAACCAGACAAAGCATCAATATTAAATCAAGAACATAAAGAGTATAAATAGTAAATATTCGAAATTAATTATATATTGTATATTTATAATTGTTATAACTTATAAAGTTCCACAATTGACACTATTTACCGCATTTCCATAGACATTTTATTATAAAGAATTAAAAATAAGAGGAGGAAGCAAAAGTAAAAACAAATTGTTGGAAAAGATTAGACGATAAAAACAAATTTACTTATTCGGTGAATGTTCTTTTTATTGGTAGAGAAGTAAATATAATAGACATAATATAATTTATATGATAGGTAACAAAATATATGTTATTTGGACTACATTGTTATTAGAAAAATCTGAAGGTTGAAACACAATTATGATAAACAAAGATAGACATTTTACAATATACACATATTAGTAAGCATATGAATTTTGAGAATGTGACACGGATCTACGACAGTTAAAATTACAAACAAAACTGCAGTATCCAAATACTGCAGTTAAATTTAACTGTCGTTAGCGGGGGTTAGTTTTTAGCTAAAAAATATATATACATTAAAATATTGTGTAAAATAATCGATTATTTGAAATTAGCTTACACATAAATTTTAATTCAAATTAAGTTATGCTTTTTTATAAATTATTAATTACAAGGCATTTCCATTTGAATAAAATCTTAGGATTTACTAGTATCCATTGTTTTAATTTCGAATTAATTGTGATTTTAAAATATCAAACTATTTTATGTAAAATAATCGGTTATAAGACATTTTAAATATAATAATTCAAATGAGACAAACAATTTTGTGCATTTTTTGTATATAAAGTAAACAATTGTACTGTTGCAATTGTACTCTTACATACTAAGATATTACTAAGCACATTTTTAAGATATTTTTTAACAACATGAATTTCAAAAGTGTAATTCTGATTGTAACAACTGTGTTATGCCTTATCATATCTTTTGCTAAAGGTAGGTACATAAAAGACATTTAGTTTACAAATGTAACAATAATGCGGCTGTGTTAAAATTAAATGTTTTTCCATATGAGTAAAATATTTTTAGTATGACATCTGATGATTTTTTTAGAAAAATAAATTTAACACTTTATATACTCATTAAGTTATTTATATTATAATAATCTATGTTTAATGTTTCAAGTGTTAATGGAATATTAAAAAAAAAAATTGTTCCATTGTTTTTCGCTGATCTGACTTCAATGACTGTTATAACTTTTTTTTCGATTAAGTATTAATAGCAGTTGTAAAATACTTCATGTACCCTTTTAAATTATAATAATATTTGAGTAAACAACTGTGAACCCATATTAAATAGGAAATTGAAAACCACAAATTTAGGAATGTTTGTTAGGTTTGTTAATAATTAAATAAATACAAATTCTTTTTTTGTGGCTCCTCTGATAAAAATATTATTACAGTCGTATATAAAATTATATGGTCATTAGCAATATTATGTAATTTTCTTTATCCAGTAATAAAATTATTGTATAAAATAATTTCATTAATTTTTCAAACGACTGATAAAATTACATAGTGATTTATACTTTTATGGTTATGGTGCTGGTGGTGGAGGTGGTATTTGTGGTGGTGGTGGTGGTGCTTGTGGTCGTTGTGGTAGTGCAGCTCTTCGTCCTGTTTCGTGCGCTGAAAAATCAAAAAAAAAAAATTATTTAAATATTTTATTTTATCCTAGTGCATCACGTCTAAATTATTTATTGATCCAAAACCATATAATTTTCTTATAGCCACACGTAATATTCTTAAAATAATATTATAACTGGATATGCAAAATTATACAATATGTTCAACATGGCAAACGTATTCTTATTTTCTACAATTTAAGGCATTTGTAGCATTTTATTTATACTTAAAGCTTTATTAAAAATAATTTGGAAACTGCTAGAAAATGTTTGAAGCATATAAACCGATATTATCAATTAACTTACTAAGGCCCCGGGTATCTGAAATATTGAAAAAAAAAATTACTTTAATATTTTTTTTTATCCTTGTGTATAAATTATATATTTTAATTTTAATCCAAAAGCGTTTAATTTTATTATAGCCACATGTAATATTCTTAAAATAATATTATAACTAGATATACAAAAAAATACAACATGTTAATAAACTTGGCAAACGTATTCTTATTTCGACAATTTAAGGCATTTGTAGCATTTTATACACATATTAAGCTTTATTGAAAACAATTATAAAACTGCTAGTATATTTGTAAAGCACGTAAACTGATATTATCCATTAACTTACCTTGTGGCATTGGTTGACCTTAAATAATGAAAAAAAAAATTAATTAAATATTTTTTTTTTATCCTTGTGTATAAATTATATATTTTAAATTTTAATCCAAAAGCGTTTAGTTGTATCATAGCCATATATATATTTCACGTATAAGTTATATATAAAAAAATGTCATTACTGGATAAAGAAAATTACATAATATTGCTAATGACCATATACATTTTATATACGACTGTAATAATTTTTATCAGAGGAGCTACAAAAAAAGAATTTGTATTTATTTATTAACAGTACCTAACAAACATTCCTAAATTTGTGGTTTTCAATTTCCTAATCGAAAAAAAAAGTTATTACAGTCTTTGAAGTCAGATCAGCGAAAAACAATGGAACAATTTTTTTTTTAATATTCCATTAACACTTGAAACATTAAACATAGATTATTATAATATAAATAACTTAATGAGTATATTTAGTGTTGAATTTATTTTTCTAAAAAAATCATCAGATGTCATAATAAAAATATTTTACTTATATGGAAAAACATTTAATTTTAACACAGCCGCATTATTGTTACATTTGTAAACTAAATGTCTTTTATGTACCTACCTTTAGCAAAAGATATGATAAGGCATAACACAGTTGTTACAATCAAAATTCCACTTTTGAAATTCATATTGTTAAAAAATATCTTAAAAATATACTTAGTAATATCTTAGTATATACTATACTAGAGCAAGAGTACAATTGCTTACCTTATATACAGTTCACTTCACAAAAACATTCGACCGAAGAGTGTACTATTTGTTTAACATGACATAACAGTGTTATTGATTCAGTAGAAAACTTTTAGAACAACAATTTTCTAAGCGTTTTTTCGGGAC